CCATCTCTACAAAAAAATACAAAAATTAGTCAGGCATGGTGGCACATGCCTGTAGTCCCAGATACATGGGGGATTAAGGTGGGAGGATTGCTTGAGCCCAAGCAGTGGCAGTTGCAGTGAGCTGAGATTATGCCACGGCACTCCAGGCTGGGTGGCAGAGCCTGACCCTGCCTCAGAAAAGAAAAAGAAAAGAAAAAAAAAAAAGAAATGCTGTAGTGTTATCCACTGATTCATACTGAGCACCTGTTATATGTGAGGGACTGTGGTTAAAGTGCTAGGAGTGCAGTGAAGAAAAAGCTTCTAAGGTCTCTGCCCCTGGGGAGCTCATGTTCTAGTAGGGCAGGCGAAACAGGTAAACAAAAATGGACACAGTGAGAAGTGCTGTGAGGAGACTAAGACATAGTAATAGGATACAGCGGTAACATAACAGGGCAGAGGTGGGCATGCTCTTTCTCTAAAGAACCAGATAGCAAATATTTTCAGCTGTGTAGGCCACAACTACTCAACTCTGCTGTTCTAAAGCAACAGCAGTCATATATGATATATAAGCAAATGACCGTGGCTATGTTCCAATAAAACTTTATTTACGGACAGAAATTTAAATTTATTTTTTATTTTTTTAAAGACAGAGTCTCTCACCACCCAGGTTGGAGTGCGGGGCTGCAATTTCAGCTCACTACAACCTCCACCTCCTGGCTTCAAGTTATTCTCCTGCCTCAGCTTCCTGAGTAACGGATTGCAGGAATGTGTCACTATGCCTGGCTAATTTTTTGTATTTTTAGTAGGGACAGGATTTCACCAAGTTGGCCAGGTTGGTCTAAAACTCCTGACCTCAGGTCATCCACCCACCTTCACCTCCTAAATGCTGGGATTATAGGTGTGAGCCACTGCACCCAGCCTACACATATTGTTTGTGGGCAAATGGCGTCTTTGAAGTGGTTTTGAACTCATAGAGATGGACACCTGTTTTAACCTGTCAGTCTCCTTTTAATCTGAACTAGGAATTGTGTGCACAGTTATATACACATGTTGACAGCAGTGTAGACTTCTCAGGTGAAGGTCAGACATGTGAACTATATTGCTCATGCAAAGTTCTGTCTGGGATCAAGGATGCCTTCTTTGATATCATGTGTCAAGTCAGAAAAGCACCACACCCAGCATTTGTCCCAGATGATGTATGATTTTCAGAAAATACAAATCCATGAGAAGAGTAGGGTAGATTAGGGCATGACAGAGTAACAGGAAGGAGTGAAAATTTTCCAATGCCCATGTTTCATCTTGAGTAATGTTTAATAAGCTGAAGAATCTCTGTTCTTGGGAACATACAGTTCACCCATCCATTTTTGCAGGGTTTTTGCCAATAAGAAAATTAAAACTTTCCATTCAGACTCTTCTCATTGGACTATTGAATGGAATTCTTATTTTCCTGAGCTTGTGTAGGCTGTACCTCCTCATTTCAGTCATACACAGGTATGGTTTGTTTGACCAAGTCCAGATTGTTGAGAAATCTGTGACCTTTGGATCAAGACTCAATAGAGTGAGCCAATCAATAGGGTCAAGGCCAAAACTGAGCAAACATCAACGTCAACTTTTTTTTTTTTTTTTTGGTCAGATCTTGCTCTGTCTGTCACCTAGGCTGGAGCTGGAGTGGCACAATCTCAGCTTAATGCAACCTGCACCTCCCAAATTCAAGCGATTCTCCTGCCTTAGCCTCCCTAGTAGCTGGAACTACAGGCACACACCACCACAGCTGGCTAATTTTTTTGCATTTCTAGTAGAGATGGGGTTTCACCATGTTGGCCAGGCTGGTCTTGAACTCCTGACCTCAAGAGATCTGCCTGCTTCAGCCTCCCGAAGTGCTGGGATTGCAGGTGTGAGCCACCGTGCTGGACCCACATGTCAACTTCTGGAGAGAAAGGCACTACAGCACACATTCCTACCAAATAATCATATATTGGAGAAGTACATGAGAAAATATACCCCAAAATACCTTGAGTTTTTTTTTTTTTTTTTTTTTTTTTTTTTTTTTGGAGATGGAGTCTTGCTCTATTGCCGGGGTAGAGTGCCATGGCATGATCTTGGCTCACTGCAATCTCCGCCTCCTGGGTTCAAGTGATTCTCCTGCCTCAGCCTCCCAAGTAGCTGAGACTACAGGCACATGCCATCACACCCAGTTAATTTTTGTATTTTTAGTAAAAATGAGTTTTCACTATGTTGGCCAGGATGGTCTTGATCTCTTGACCTCGTGATCTGCCCGCCTCAGCCTCCCTAAATGCTGGGATTACAGGTGTGAGCCACTGTGCCCGGCTGGGATTTGTTTTTTGATATAGCTTTGTACACTGTGGATGTCTGTCGACTTTTATTCATCCTTATTTTGATCCATTATGTGTCAGTTCTTTATTTAAAGACTGTCCTTGGTACTTAGTCAATATTATATATTCTATTGTGAAAAAGTTAAATAATGGGGAAATTATCTTTTATGTAACAGTGACTTGCTTTCCCATAAAAGATAATGAATCTAAGAAGCCTTCTCCTAAAGAAATGATTAAAACATTAAGTTAGCACTCTTGGGAAAGAAGAGGGCTCAGGACTCTATCCTTATAAACACCAAATCATAATCTCATTCAAGCCCTACTTGTAATGCTTTGAGTTTCTTCTTTTTACAAGACAGGGTCTCAGTGTGTCACCCAGGCTAGAGTGCAGTGGCACAATCTTAGCTCACTGCAGCCTCTTCCTCCTAGGCTCAAGGGATCCTCCCACCTCAGCCTGCCAAATAACTGGGATTATAGGCACATATCACCACCTCTGCTTCAATTTTTTATTTTTTGTATAGACAGGCTTTCACCAGGTTGCCCAGATTGGTCTCAAACTCCTGAGCTCAAGTCATCCACCTGCCTCAGCCTCCCAAAATGTTGGGATTACAGCTGTGTACCTCCCCACCAGCCAGAGAGCTAAGTTTTCAATACAAAGAAATGTGGCTTCAGAAAGGTCAAGAAGCCCAGCTGGTTTATGGAAGAACCAGATCTAGAACCCAAGACTCTTAATGCAGGGTTTCTTAAGGCATTGGGAATATTAATAACAAGAAACCATAAAGTTTCGTGAAGGAAGCGTGACTATGACTTTACCAGGTCTAGGTGGTTTGAGAGTAGATACACAGTTGGCAATAACTTCCAGGTACAGAACTAGACCAAGATTACCTGATTGGGATTTCTTGCAAGTCTCCAAAGTACTTTCTGCCCTTCATTTATAAAACCTAGAATTTTTTTTTTTTTAGTTGGAGTGTCACTCTGTAGCACAGGCTGGTGTGCAGTAGTAGCACGATCTTGGCTCACTGCAAGCTCTGTCTCCCAGGATCAAGTGATTCTCCTGCCTCAGCCTCCCAAGTAGCTGAGATTACAGGCACATGCCATCAAGCCCAGCTAATTTTTTTTTTTTTTTTTTTTTGAGATGGAGTTTTGCTCTTGTTACCCAGGCTGGAATGCAATGGCAATCTCGGCTCACCACAACCTCCACTTCCTGGGTTCAAGCAATTCTCCTGCCTCAGCCTCCTGAGTAGCTGGGAATACAGGCGTGCACCACCATGCCCAGCTAATTTTTGTATTTTTAGTAGAGACAGGGTTTCACCATGTTGACCAGGATGGTCTTGATATCTTGACCTTGCAATCCATCCACCTCAGCCTCCCAAAGTGCTGGGATTATAGGCGTGAGCCACCACGCCCAGTCAATTTTTGTATTTTTTTAGTAGAGACAGGGTTTTACCATGTTAGCTGGGCTGCTCTGGAACTCCACACAGCTTGGCCTCCCAAGTATTGGCATTACAGGCGTGAGTACTGGGCCTGGCCTAAAACCTGAATTTCTTAACACACTGTTCCTCATAGGACTCCGTTTCTCTTTCTACCTTAGGCAATCCAATTCTACTCCTCCTGCAGTGCATGGATATATATTAATAACTTCTTTCAAGAGAAAGATCAGTTGCAAATATTTATCAAATGTGTTGATACATGCAAATTAGGCTTTCCCTGCTGCCTTTTCAAAACATAGAATAAAATGACCTATTCTTAACTCAATGGCTAAGTGTTTGTGTGAACTTGAACAAACCTTCACTTTTCCTGTGCCTCACTGTTCTTATCCACAGAGCAGTTAAACCAAATGATCTCTAGTTAAAATAATGTATGATTTAATGATTAGTTAATTAAGATTCTACCTGTGCACATATTTAACTTCAAATATGATCAATGTGAGAAGGACATCTTTAAGGAAGTCAAGAAATCTAAGAATGAGCCCCGGGTTCAGCATCAGGTAAATGTGTAATCAATCATTAGAACAGGGAATAACCTCACTTTCCCCGTTTATCAAATGGGGTAACACTCATGGTTATCTCTCAGGGTTGTTTTGAAGACTGAACAAGATAAGTCATGTGAATGTGCTTTGTAAGTTGTATAGTTAGAGAAATTAGAAGAGTAATTATTGTTAAAGGAGATGTTTGAAACACTGCATACGGTGTCGCTGCCAAAGGAGGTAACAGGCTGAGTCCGGGCTATTTCTCCTTAGGACGCGTCCTTGTGCTAAGTAAATGGTAGGTTACACTAGGTTACTGTGCAGTGAGTCCTGATCCAGGCAGGGCCTAACTCATGAATTTTTACCAGAAAATAAAGGAATACACTAAAAAACAAAACAAAAAAAAAAAAAACAAAACAGAAAGAACCTGAGCAGGAGGGAATTCGCAGGCAGAGGAGGAGGAAAAGCAAAGACGGGCAAAGTTAGGAGAATGAAAGGAGAGTTCAGAGGAATGACAGGGGCGGACAGGGGCGGGCAGGGGCTGGCAGGGCCGACAGGGGCGGGCAGGGGCGGGCAGGGCCGAGCGCCGGGCCGGGCTGGGTGGTGGCGACTGCGCGGCGAGCCCCACGACCTGCCCCGGCGGGGGAGGAGGAGGGGCTTGGCGGAGGGCACCGCGAGGGCCAGATTTAAAAGGGAGATGATCCTAGCTAGTTGTTGCCACCAGTGACCTCCGACGCCCAGGGCAAGAGAACGCCACCACGAGGGATAACGGGAGGAAGGCCGGGGCAGCCAAGGCAGTCCCAGGCTCGTGAGGGAGGTGCGCAGACCGGACAGGGGCGTCCTCGGGGCGCCCGGCACCCCGCCACCATGTGCGAGCTGTACAGCAAGCGGGACACTCTGGCGCTGAGGGGGAAGCACATCGGGTAAGGGCACCCCGGCCAGGTAGAAAGTGCAGAGAGCGGGCAATACCAGCGCAGAGGATGGAGAGATGAAGCCGGGTAGGAGGCGAGCGAGGGGAGCGCGCTTGGGGGCTGCGCGAGAGCTCGAGGCTGCCGCCGCCCTCCGTGCGTGCCGCGCCTGTGCCTCCACCTGCCGGGGCCGCGCGGGCTCCCAGAAACGTTCCTGGAGCCCGGGAGCTCTGGGCACCCGGTCCGCTCGAAAGTCCCCGGCTAGCTCTGCAGCTGGAGGACGAGCGGCGGCTGTCGGCGGGCTAGAGGGGTTGGTGGATGGCGGCCAATAGCCCTGGCAGACACCGTTCCAAGGATGGGAGGTGGAAGGGAGGAAGATAGCGCCCCGCCACCCCCATCCAAATCGAAAATTTTTGGACACTGTGAACTCAGAAATACTTTTTCATGATGGCTCTGCAAACAAACTAATCCTGACCATTTTTACTTAAAGTGAACTTTTTCTTCTTGCATGCTTGGTTAAGCGGTGAAGGGTTAATCTAGCTAGCAGAAAAACTTGAAACTACCTTCTGTTAGAAAAGCAGATACATCATTTAGAAGTTTCTCAATGAAGCCCCTTGGTCTTCCAAGCTGTGTTCTCCCCAGTCTGCTTGTCTTGCCCTGTTACAAACGACTTGGTAATATAATGGTGAGCATATAAGACTCTCCGGGGCTCTGGCCCTCGTCGGGTGCCATATTCCCTGTGTGACTTCTGTCAAATTATTTCAACTGTCTCTTCTATGAAAGTAGGAATAACATTCTGCCTCACAGGAGCACGCAGATGAGATTCATATGTTAGTGTTTTGTATGTGGTTTTTAAAAAGATACGTGTACATATAAATGATGATTAACGACCCCGAACACTGTAAAATCAACAGTCTGCAATATTCATTTGAAATGAACCACTGCAGCCAGGCCAGTGGCCATGAGAGAGCACTTGGGGCTGCAAGGAAGAAAACAATCAGCATCCTCTTCCTAGGAATGCTGGGCAGTTTCTCAGACTGAAGCTCTTTTCTCAGACTGAAGCTCTTTTCTCAGACTGAAGCTCCTCGCCTCAACTAGAAGAGTTTCTGGATGGTTTGGAAGACAGTTTGATCTCTCTCAGCCGCGAAATGGGGTCAAAATAGTACAGTTCTTCCCCCATTAATCAATAACCACCCTACTTTTTCTAATCACTCACTCCATTAGTTTTCGATCTTACTTAGATTCCAGTGAATGCCTAATGGTTTCTGACATGAGCAGAACAAATTCTCTAAAGGACCAGTGTAGCCATGGGATGACTGGAAGAAGGAGAATTTTGCCTGATGTCTAATGGCCAAGGTGGAAAGTGTGTTAGAAAGACAAAGTGAAGTCTGCAGCTTTCAGCCCACATCCTTAACAGGCTTTTTTTAACTTGTAGGTATAAACTAACTGCTGAGTTTGAACCAATAAGAAATTCTTATAAAATATTATTTTCATTTTAGCTGATGATGCTTTAAAAATCAATATATAACACAACCTTATGCAATTTTAAAATTTGAGGTGACCTATCATTCATAATAATCAAAATTCCTTCTAAACATATTGATTGAATGTATTTCTACTAGAACTACCTCCAATGTGTGTGAGGGTTTGTGTGTGTGTGTGTATGCATGCACAATCACCAAAATAAATAAATGTATTTAACTTTAGTTCTCAAATGTTCATAAAGCCAAGATTAGAAGCCTTTATGATATTCCTATGTGCTACAATGTATACTCCAGACATTCATCCAAATAAAAGTATGGAGGACTTTATTATGCTCAAAAAAAACATATCATGGGGTTAGAAGAATAATTGAATTTCATTATTTAATAATGGAAAAATTATCAAATAATTTATTTGATACAGGACAAGTGCCACTCAAAATACATGAAAATGAAAATGACCTATAAAGCTTCCTTCATAGTATTCAACTCTAGCTTCTTTGTATTTAGGTTTCAGTGCTGTTCATGTTTTTATACATTAGATTGAGGGGGAGACAGAGATGTCTACCTGGGGCTATGGCACAACACAGCCTACTTTCAAATTCTGGTTTTCTCATTTCCTGTCTCTGTAAACTTGAGCTAGTTTCTTAATTTCCCTGTGCCTTGGTCTCCTCACCTATAAAAGTGAGAATGATAATAACCTCTATTTCATAGGATTGCCAAGAGGATTAAATAATATTTACAAAATATATAACAGTTTCTAACACATTAAGCCCCCCTAAAAAGCTTGGTTTTTTTTCTGGTAGAACAAAACTTCTCAAAGGAAAATTAGTTATTGGTTTGTGTGATTAGAACCATCAGAGAGTGGATTCATGTGCCTCTAATAAATTGTCAAATCACGGCACATTTAATATAACAAGCATTAGAAATGTGTACAATGTCATGAATGGGGGATTAACATAAAAGGTTCCAGTTTTACATGAAATGAAAATAAATGTATGTCATCCAGGTTGTGTTTTCCCTTTCCTTTATGTGATTGTACTTTTCCACTGATGGTGACCTTCATTGAGAAGGAAAAATACTGAGAATAGTCTTACCAAAGTGTTTCCTTTGATTACTTCTAGGCCCTCATGCAAAGTTTTCTTTGCTTCGGATCCCATCAAAATAGTGAGAGCCCAGAGGCAGTACATGTTTGATGAGAACGGTGAACAGTACTTGGACTGCATCAACAATGTTGCCCATGGTAAATGTCCTCTAGTTGAGGAGCTTTGAAGGAAATGTTCACGGAATAAAGCAGACTTGGAACACTTAGTATTTGTCTCAGGAATTGCAGTGGCTGCAGTTCCTTTGCTGAGTGGGCCAGTAGTTCTAGCAGGGAAAATCATAGCAACATGTGGAAGAGAATGGAACTCAACTTTTTTTTTTTTTTTTTTTTTTTTTGAGGTGGAGTCTTGCTCTGTCACCCAGGCTGGAGTGCATTGGCGTGATCTCCACTCACTGCAACCTCCGCCTCCCGGTTCAAGCAATTCTCCTGCCTCAGCCTCCTGAGTACCTAGGATTACAGGCATGAACCACCACATCCAGCTAATTTTGTATTTATAGTAGAGATGGGGTTTCTCCACATTGGTCAGGCTGGTCTCGAACTCCCGACCTAAGGTGATCTGACTGCCTCGGCCTCCCACAGTGCTGGGATTACAGGCGTGAGCCACTGCTCCTGGCCTCCAGGAATTCAACTTTTGTTTGTTTGTTTGCTTCATAATTCCTCTTATTCCTAGGCACTTAGAATTGTAACTTATTTCTTGGGCTTTTGTTTCATAAATTTTAGTGGGACACTGTCACCCAGAAGTGGTCAAAGCTGCTCTGAAGCAGATGGAACTGCTAAATACAAATTCTCGATTCCTCCACGACAACATTGTTGAGTATGCCAAGCGCCTTTCAGCAACTCTGCCGGAAAAACTCTCTGTTTGTTATTTTACAAATTCAGGGTATGTTTCATGATTTCCCACCCCTCCCCATTCCCACTAAACTTTGTCTACACTTTCACACGAATCTTTCCTTTTGATTCCTGGTGGAGCATGTCCAAAAAGGTTTGCTGAGTTTCTTGCCATTCACAAAGTGATCACACATTAGGGGCCTGGCCTTTCTGATCCTCCTGCTTTATTGCATGACTGAATCTAACTGGTCAAAGGATGCTCACCTCTCCAGGCAGTGCAATAAGGAGCTAAAGAGTCGATAGGCCAAGATATTCTTTCAATGAATGTATAAGGAACTTTAGCCATAAAATAACTACTAAACAAGCCACAACTTTTTAAAGATGTTTTTTATTGTTGAAAACTTAGCCTATTTCCCCAATTACAAACACAAGAAAAGAAGGAAAAAGGAAACTCAGATACATATCAAGTTTTTTTCTTAATTAATTTTTTTTTTTTTGAAGTGGAGTCTCACTCTGCCATCCAGCCTAAAGTGCTGTGGCGTGATCTCAGCTCACTGCAACTGCCATCTCCCAGATTGAAGCAATTTTCCTGCCTCAGCCTCCCAAGTAGCTGGGATTACAGGCACCACCACCTCACTCTGCTAGTTTTTGTATTTTTAGTACAGACTGGGTTTTGCCATGCTGGGCAGGTTGGTCTCAAACTCCTGACCTCAGGTAAACTGCCCACCTCAGCCTCCCAAAGTGCTGGAATTATAGGCTTGAGCCATCACGCCCCGCTTGAGGCATTTTTTTGAGATGGAGTTTTGCTCTTGTTACCCAGGCTGGAGTGCAATGACACGATCTTGGCTCACCGCAACCTCTGCCTCCCAGGCTCAAGTGATTCTCCTGCCTCAGCCTTCTAGGTAGCTGGGATTACAGGCATGTGCCACCACGCCTGGCTAATTTTGTATTTTTAGTAGAGACGGGATTTCTCCATGTTTGTCAGGCTGGTCTTGAACTCCTGACCTCAGGTGATCTGCCTGCCTTGGCCTCCCATAGTACTGGGATTACAGGTATGAGCCACTGCCCTGGCCAGGAGAAGCCCCAAGAGGGGTGGGCTGGGAGGGCCGCATATGGGGCCACCAGCAGCACCTCAGGGTCAGCGTGGGGACCCTGACCCTGGGGCCAGTGCCAATGCACACAGGCTGCTATCCCTACCCAGGCACCTTGGGCTGCCTCAACTTTTTAACTTAGTTTTTTTGTTTGTTTGTTTGTTTTTTAGTGACAGCATCTCATTATGTTGCCCAGGCTGCTTTTGAACTGGGCTCAAGCATCTGCTCACCTCGTCCTCCCAAAGTGCAGGGATTACACTTGGAGCCACTGTGCCTGGCTCCAAGTTCTGTAAATTCAAATCGTTATATACCCATTCTCTTATATATCCAGACTATTATGCAGATATTCAGAAGTATGTTTTTGCAAATGCATGCCGAAATATTTGCTCAAAATGTAATATTAGGGGAAAACTATATAGATATCCAGTAGAAAATTCTATTTTTAAAGTGAAATAAATATATATGAAATTTAACTATTAGACCTTCTGTGAATATTTGATTAAATGACTTTCTGTGATTCGCTTTTCATTAAGATATTTTAAAACCAAATTTATGGCCAGTGTGGTGGCTTATACCACCGTGCCCAGCTCGGCCTTCCAAAGTGTTGGGGTTACAGGCATGAGCCACCACAGCTGGCTAATTTTTGTATTTTTTGTGGAGATGGGGTTTCACCCTGTTGCCCACGCTGGTCTTGAACTCCTGGGCTCAAGCAATCTGCCTGCCTCAGCCTCCCAAAGTGCTAGGATTAACAGACATGAGCCACCACACCCAGCCAAAACTAATATTCTTTTTTTTTAATTAAAAAATTATTTTATTATTATTTTTAGAGACAGGATTTTGCTAGGTTGGTCAGGTTGGTCTTGAACTCCTGACCTCAAGAAATCTTCCCACCTTGGCCTACCAAAGTGCTAGGATTATAGGCATGAGCCACTGCCACCATGCCTGGCCAACTAATATTTTTAAAGTAAAAAAGTCTTCAGTCCGAATCCTGGCTCTACTTCATATTAGCTATGAGATCTTACTCTGATTACTCAACCTCTCTGAGGCTGTTTTCTTACTCATAAAAAGGAGATAGCAATACTTAAAATGTTGTTATGAGAATAAATACAAGTAAAATCCTCAGCATGATGTTTAGCAGATAGTAAACATTCCACTCACGATTATTTTCTTCCTTTGTCTGGGTAGTATATTTAGGTTGTCTGAAATATAAAGGAAAAAATTTGATACTCATTTTATAGGTAAGGAAGCTAGTCAAATGACAGGTAAATACAGCATAGGTTGGTAGCCAAGCTAATAGGCACTCGGCCTTCCATTTCTCCTGTGAAAATCAGGTTTAATGACAGCTTTTTCGTGTTGTCAGTCACGATGAGGCTGAACTGGACTAAAGTCTGAATTGGGTAACGTAACCTTAATTTTTATTGGGTTTATTCTGTATGTCTCATTCTTTATTGAAAACATTTAAGGAAACTTGTATAGAAGAGTAAAGTGGGCAGGCAAGATAGGGCTAGGAGAGGACTTCAACTTACTATTTTGTAAGTTTCTGAATAAATGTAACCTTACAACTTTTGTAATTAACATCCTAAATGTTTTTTGGATTTTTTTTTTTTTTTTTTTTTTTTTAAGATGGAGTCTCACTCTGTTACCCAGGCTGGAGTCCGGTGGTACAATCTTGGCTCACTGCAACCTCCACCTCCCAGATTCAATCAATTCTCCCGCCTCAGCCTCCTGATTAGCTGAGATTACAGGCGAAGGCCGCTATGCTGGCTAATTTTCTGTAGTAGAGACAGAGCTTCACGGTGTTGCCCAGGTTGGTCTTGAACTCTTGGGCTCAGACAGTCAGCCCTCCTCGGCATCCAAAGTGATAGGATTACAGGCATAAGCTACCACACCTGGTACATCCTAAATGTTTTAAAAAGAGATTGTGTCGCACTGTCCTCTCTCTCTGTGTTATCTTAATAGATCCGAAGCCAACGACTTAGCCTTACGCCTGGCTCAGCAGTTCACAGGCCACCAAGATGTGATCACTCTTGACCAGTAAGTCTTGGACACAAGATTTCTAAGCAAGAAGCTTCTTCAGAGACAAAGTTGTATCAATCCTATCCATACTAATACCATAAACACATGCGAAAGAAGACGGATATATGGAGCAATGTTTTTAAAATGATGTATTAAGCTATCAAGGCCAGCTTAAATCCAGAGGGATACTTAATTCCTTCTAAGTACCAGGAAGTAGGAGAGGTTCTCTTGGGTACTATAGGGGATGTAGCTTCATGGAGTTTGCATGAACCATGGCTTACTTTTCACACACATTTATTTAGCTATTACTAACATGTAAGTAAATCAGTAATTTTCCAAATAAAAATACAATGAATTTCTGAAAAATTAAAGCATTCACTTCACTACCGTGATTATCCACAATTACTAATTTTAAAGATAACAATTTAGAACAAATTTTAAAGAAAGCAAGCAGTCAGGTAAAATTTAAAACTTTTTCATTAGCTTATAATTATTAGCAACCACTATCTAATCTTACCTCTCAATTTATTGAATTTATTCATTACATCTTTATTTATTTGTTACATTTTAATAATGTATTATTAAATGAATTTATTACTTTTTAAACAAGAAACCTGGCAACTTCCATCTTTATTAGAGTTTTTGGGTTTTTTTTTTTTTTTTTTTTTTTTTGGAGACAGAGTCTTGGTCTGTCACCCAGGCTGGAGTACAGCATGATCTCTGCTCACTGCAACCTCTGCCTCCTGGGTTTAAGTGGTTCTCCTGCCTCAGCCTCCTGAGTTAGCTGGGATTACAGGTACCCAACGCCACGTTTGACTAACGTTTTGTATTTTTAGTAGAGACAGAGTTTCACCGTGTTGGCCAGGCTGGTTTCGAACTCCTGAGCTTAAAGTGATCCGCCCACCTTGGCCTCCCAAAGTCCTGGGATTACAGGCGTGAGTCCCTGAGTCCAGCCTAGGGATCTTTTTTCTTTTAAACTTTTGTCTACTCCTCCACCCCACCCCACTAACCTTAGATGTAGAGGGTGACATTAACTATGCACCTCATTTAATGCCTTTCCCAGTTGCTTTTGGGAACTTAGTCATAAATTCTTTGCCAAGGCTGATGTCAAGAATAGTATTTCTAGGGTTTCTTCTAAGATTTTTACAGTTTTAAGTCTTAAATTTAAGGCTTTAATCCTTGTTGAGTTAATTTTTGTATATGGTAAAAGGCAGGAGTCCGGCTTCATTCTTCTGCATATAGCCTCAATCTTAGTTCTTAAAAAGACCTCCTTTTCCTTCTCAACTAGTATTTGCCTAATATTTGCAAGTGGACATACTTTAGAAATCATCCCAAACAGAAACAGAGGCCCATTCTGTGATATAAAGTTGGTTTTAAATTTAGTAGAATGTAGCACATATTCTTTTAACACATTTAAAAAATATATACATGTAAAATATTGCATGAAGATATAGAAAACAATTTTTCACATTAGACAACCTAATTTAGTGATATAATCTAAATACATCAGTTTTCCCAACTAAAGAGAAATTGTCAATGAGGACACATGCTTGACTTTCTGGATTTTATTACATGTAAAAGAAGAATTGGACACATTAAGGGCCAGTCTTGCCATGAAAAATTAGATCCCATATAGTTAAATCTGGCACCAATGTTGAGATTCTCGCTGGATGGATGCATATGGATGAAACGTAACGCTGGTTTTCATATATTTGGAAACATCTCTCTTGGAGTTATTTTGGTTATTGTTTTTTTTTCTTTTCAGTGCTTACCATGGTCACCTATCATCCTTAATTGAGATTAGCCCATATAAATTTCTGAAAGGAAAAGATGTCAAAAAAGAATTTGTACATGTGGTAAGTGTCTTAGAATCCTAATCAGAATGTTAGCACTGAAAGAATGCTTCATGATAATCCAGCTCAATAATTTCATCTAAATGAACCATGAACAAGACACTAAAATCAGGAGCAGTTATGTGGCTTGCTAAAGGTCAAGGGGCTAAATAATGACCGAATGTGATTTAAAATCTATTGATGAATATTACAATAGGCAAATTAGGTTAGTAGTTGTCAGAACTATCACTTTACTTTTCTTGCTTCTTCATCTTCAGTTACATTTTCTATCACAGATGCCAGCTCAACATTCAGAGTTGAACTAAGTGTGTATGAATGTCTTCAAATTGTTCTTGGCCAGGCACAGTGGCTCACACCTGTAATTCCAGCACTTTGGGAGGCCGAGGCAGGCAGATCACTTGAGGTCGGGAGCTCGAGACCAGTCTGGCTAACATGGCAAAACCGTGTCTCTAGTTTAAAAAAGTACAAATATTAGCCAGGCGTGGTGACAGGTGCCTGTAGTCCCAGCAACTTGGGAGGCTGAGGCAGGAGAATAACTTGAACCCAAGAGGGGAGGTTGCAGTGAGCCAAGATCATACCACTGCACTCTGGCCTGGGTAACACAGCAAGTCTCCATCTCAAAAAAGAAAAGAAAAGAAAAAATAAATCACTCCGTATAATAATGCTAAATTATTATGTAGCTTTATTAAGTAAAATAAAGAAACCAACCAAGTTGTTGAAAAGTGAAATATACTTGGTGTGTTGTCTGAGGATCAGTGTAATTTCTTTTTCTTTTTCTTTTTTTTTTTTTGTGATGGAGTCTCACTTTGGTATCCAGGCTGGAGTGCAGTAGCACCACTGAAACCTTCACCTACCAGGTTCAAGCGATTTTTCAGCCTCAGCCTCTTGAGGAGCTGGGATTACAGGAGTACCCCACCAAACCCTGCTAATTTTTGTATTTTTTGTAGAGACAGGGTTTCACCATGTAGGCCAGACTGATCTCAAACTCCTAACCTTAAGAGATCTGCACACCTCAGCCTCCCAATGTGCTGGGATTACAGGCCTGAGCCACTGCGCCTGGCCGAATTTGTTGAAAATCATCAATACTTTCTTTCAAGATTTTAAGATCTGGAGTAAGTGCTAATGCACTCTAGTTTTCTGAATGATTACGATTTGTAGTATTGTTGATAAGTGTTGGCTCATTTTAAATATAGACTAGTTAATGCAGTTTCCATTCACTGACATTTTTAAATAGTATCATCACACTTGTTGATTTGAATTTTCTATTTATGTGAACAGGGATACAGTCTTGATATATAATAGTCTGGAAGCAAATCCAAGCTTCTGTTCACAATTCAAAGATGTCAATTCTTCACAGAATTTAGAAATGTTAAGGAAAAAAAAGAATAGAAAAACCTAAAGTATCTTAAGCTTACATGATCACTATGCTAACATGTCCTTGTGAGGAAATGCCTTTTTTTTTAAGGGTTGTCGAAAGGATAAATTACAAGCAACCACATTATTTGATGTTTTCAGGCACCAACTCCAGATACTTACAGAGGAAAATATAAAGAAGACCATGAAGACCCAGCCAGTGCTTACGCAGATGAAGTGAAGGAAATCATTGAAGATGCTCAGAGCAGTGGGAGGATGGTTTGTATTTATGGCTTTGGAAACATCTTAACATATTTTATAAAAGGGATTGAAACTGTTGGAATTCACTGAAGAGATGCATTATTACAATCATGCCTCTAAGACTGTCTATTTGTATTTATCTTGGAAATACAATCACTATCCAGTTCCAGAACTGGTGGCTTATTTCTGACCTTTTCAGTGGTACACAGGGTCTAGTCTAGAGGGATAGGGGAAGAGAGAATTTTGAAAGGTGGTAACTCAGGGATGGATTATTTCAACTGGTAATAACACCAGGGGTCATTATATGGTGGAGGGAAGAGAAGAGGCAAACAAAGTAGCCCTGGGACCTCAGAACCAATGCAGACTTCCAGACCCACAAGGGAGCCTTGGTGCTTCTCTTGAACTTCAATCTTCTTGAAGCCATAGAGCCTGGGGCCGGTTTGCACCTGGGTAAGCCAAGGCAGAAAATGTTCTTCCAATTTGGGCCTGGACTTCTAAGACAGAAATAAAATCCTTGAGCAGGAAAAAGTGTTTTCGCTTTCTCAGCCATCACCCTACTGTCTTAGGCTTAATGTGCAACTCTCAGCCCATCTGTAGGTTAATTATGTGGATTTTGATGCAACTTGACAATATTTTGCCTTAAAATTGGCTTATGGCATAGACTTAGCTATTGAAAAAACAACCTTAATTGAAATAAAAATGAGGCCTTTTCTTTTTCTAATTAACTCAAATATTTTTGTCTTCATGACTGGAGAGCCATTCACATTTCTTAACTGCTGCTTTTCTTTCCAACCCGTTTGTTTTTCCTATCTTCTGATGTGAAACATCTGTGCAAGTAGACCTAAAGTTCTACATGTTGTGGGGAGCTTCATACCTTTCCTCTTCAAATGTGATCTACACCTGTTTAAACAAATGTCAATTCTTCACAAACGCTTTTAGAAAAAAATTTAATGCTTTTAGGCAAACAATGCTTTTAGGAAAAAAATTTACTTTATTTACATTAACAAGATCTTATGGACCCACTCCTTTTAAAAGAGGGTTTGAATAATTTTTTGAGAAGATTAGCATTCAGCATTTATTGGATTGTTGTTATCATATTAGCAGTGATGAAAACAATGAACAAATATAAAATCAGTCCTTCGGAATATTAGATGTGCTTGCAAAGTCATGGAATTGTATAGCAGAAATCTTGAGTCCAACAGCCTCATTTTGCAGCTAAGAAACTAAATATCTAAAAAGTGAAGGATTTAATCTAAGGTCATACAATTACTAAGGGGTAGTCTGAACTAGAACCTGGGTTCTCTTGATTTCTTATCTCATATGCTTAGTGCTTTCTCTTCAACATTATCTATTTCCTACTTTCCTTTTCTTAGCCTCTAGGATGCTTCATCTGTAGTTTCTATTGTTAATTGCCCACTGTTGAGTTAAGCGTGGTTTAGGGAGAAACCTAGAAATACGGTATAGTAACTATAGTGTGTGTCCACCAACCACCCTCCCATTTCCACGGTGCAAATTCCAGCCTCAAGTGGCCCTACTTTACAAGTTTAAGAAACAAGCATCACAATAATGCCTTTGGAACCTAGGTAATTTTTTTTACAGGTTCATAATCAAAGACTAATAAAAGTATCAGTCATATTCAGTTCATCCTAATGAAACCACTGCATGTAATGATGGAGAAATGGACGTTGCCCTCCAATCTCCTCTATTTCTCATGGTAGCTTTATTGGTATCCTAGATTTTCAGAAGTTAATGATTTAAATCAATTGCTTTACCAACATAGACACCTTTTCCTTTTTTTTTTTTTTTAAATCAAATAGCCAATTTGCCACTTGCCATTCTTAATTCTATTCCTAGCCATTTTAAAAATAACCTGCTCTATAAGATATCCTCTTTGGCGGGGAGGGGTTGTAGGGGGACCTAATGGACTTTGACCCCGTCTTCTCTTGTATAGATTGCTGCCTTTATTGCTGAATCCATGCAGAGTTGTGGCGGACAAATAATTCCTCCAGCAGGCTACTTCCAGAAAGTGGCAGAGTATGTACTTGACTTGGGCCTCTTTGGTCAAACTAAGAGCATGGTGACAATTCTGTAGGGCCATACTAGTTGCTGAAGTATTAAAATAATTACTGATTAGCTGGTAAACAGCCAAACCCGAATGCCTGCCATCCCAGGACTCCTGGATGCTCTCTCAGCCCTCCCCAAGATCCAGCAAGTACAAGGTTTACACATGGTCCAATAGCAGGGGTTCAGAACTCCACTCCAGCCCCAGGCCTACATCCTCTCTGATTGACTAATACCAAATCTATATTAGTCAGGGTTCTCTAGAGGGACAGAACTATTCAGGGGAGTTTATTAAGTATTAACTTACACGATCACAGTTCCCACAACAGGCTGTCTGCAAGCTGAGGAGAAAGGACAGCCAGTCCAAGTCCCAAAACTGAAGAACTTGGAGTCTGATGTTTGAGAGCAGGAAGCATCCAGCATGGGAGAAAGATATAGGCTGGGAGGCTAGGTCCATCTCTCCTTTCCATGGTTTTCTGCCTGCTTTATATTCACTGGCAGCTGATTAGATTGTGCCCACCAGATTAAGGATGGATCTGACTTCCCCAGCCCACTGGCTCATGTTAATCTCTTTTGACAACACCCTCACAGATACACCCAGAATCAGTACCTGATGTCCTTCAATTCAATCAAGTTGACAGTATTAACCATCACACAAACCTGCCCAATTAGTAAATACTTGAAGATTAACCCTATTAACAACTACTTGTTTGATTCTTTCTCTTCCCACTTAAAATAATGCAATAGGACTGGGTGCTGTGACTCATGCCTATAATCCCAGCGCTTTGGGAGGTCAAGGTAGGAGGATCACTTGAGGCCAGGAGTTCAAGACCAGCCTGCGCAATATAGCAAGACTCCCTCTCTACAAAAATTTTTAAAAAATATTATCTGGGCATGGTGGTGCATGCCTGTAGTTTCAGCTACTCGGGAGGCTGAGGTGGGAGGATGGCTTGAACCCAGGAATTTGAGGTTACAGGGAGTTTGATCCCACCACTGCACTCCAGCCTGGGCAACAGGGTGAGACCCCATCTCTTAAAAAAATTAAAAATACTGCAATATAGCTTAATTTAAGCAGCACAAACCCAAATCGTCTGGAATATATTTCATCTAAAAATTATGTGATTATATTGTAAAGTCAATGATATATATGTGGGATTTAGAGTACTGAAATGTTTTTAACAAAAATTAAGGCTTCAGGTTAATCTTATTTTTTGTCATCAATAATTGGCTTCTTTGTGGGCGGGTCTGGGGACTCTCAGTGACCTGAAGGCATTAGACTGCCGCTTTGCTTTTCAGGTATGTACACGGTGCAGGCGGTGTGTTTATAGCTGATGAAGTTCAGGTGGGCTTTGGCCGAGTTGGGAAACATTTCTGGAGCTTCCAAATGCATGGCGAAGACTTTGTTCCAGACATCGTCACAATGGGAAAATCTATGGGCAACGGCCACCCAGTGGCATGTGTGGTAACAACCAAAGAAATTGCAGAAGCCTTCAGTAGCTCTGGGATGGAATATTTTAATACGGTAAATTATGGTCTCCATCTTTAATGCTAAGAAGGAAAAACAATGCATGTTCTTGTATTTTTTGCCAATGTAGTGAAGAATAAAGCTCAGTATTGCCAGCTAACCACCCAGAACTCTGGCCAAACTGTTTTTTTCTTATTTTAATAAAATATCATATATATATATGTATGTGTATATATATATATATTTGTATGTATATATGTGTGTGTGTATATATATATATATATTTAAGTTCCAGGATACATGCACAGAATGCAGATTTCTTACATAGGTATACTTGTGCAATGGTGGTTTCCTGCACTTATCAACCCATCTTCTAGGTTTTAAGCCCCATGTGCATTAGGTATGGCCAAACTTTTACCTAACCAGATTTCATTCTATCTATCTGGCAAAATGCTTCTTGTATTTTTCCTTGTATATCTTTACCTATCCTAAAACAGTCTTATTCATTTTTCCAATGATAGATGTTTGCCCTGCTAAATTCTAGAGGCTATGATATTTTCATTTCTTTGTTTCATACCATACTTAAATTTCCAAAACACTTTTAAAGTGTTTTGATGACTCAGTACTATAAATGTTATATGGCTGCCATAAGAGATACTATATTTTTAACTTAGGGAAATTATATTTCTTTGCTTTATTCCCATAAGCTTTAAGCTTGGAAAAATTATTGTAGTTTATGTAGTATATATAATAGGACTTGTTACAGCTAAAAGTAAGATTCAAATCTGAGGACAGGCCAGGTATGGTGGCTCACGCCTGTAATGCCAGCACTTTGGGAGGCCACGGTGGGCAGATCCACGAGGTCACGAGTTCCAGACTAGTCTGGCCAACATGGTGAAACCCCATCTCTCCTAAAGATACAAAAATTAGCCTGGCATGGTGGTGCATGCATGTAATCCCAACTACTCAGGAGAGTGAGGCAGGAAAATCGCTTGAAGCTGGGAGATGGAGGTTGCAGTGAGCCTAGATCCTACCGTTACACTCCGGCCTGGGCCACAGGGCAAGACTCCATCTCAAAAAAAAAAAAAAAAAAAGAGTCTGAGGACATAAATTATTTCGAGAAAACTGTCATTGCTTAGCTGTTTTTGCTCAGCTCTTCAAGGGCAGGAGCTCCTGTTTCCCTCACTGGGCAACACTATGAAATCCTTAATTCCCAACATAATGTCTGGTGTTTGTTTGGATGAGCAAATAAATTCTCTGGTAGTCCTTCATATCAGTTATGCAGCTTGGAGAATATAATTTAGAATGAATTTTCACTCAATCCTGCATAAATAGAATCATTTTCTATTCTACATATGAGAAATTAATATTACGAGAGAGCATTTTATTAAATTATATCTTCACTTAAGTATGGGTGAGTCAGATTTCTCATGGATGAGGGAATATCACCCATTCAACTGGTTTATTTTCTCAGTTGTCCTTTTTTTTATAGTATGCAGGAAATCCAGTATCTTGTGCTGTTGGTTTGGCTGTCCTGGATGTAATTGAAAAAGAAGACCTCCAAGAAAATGCCAGCAGAGTAGGGAATTTTCTCACTGAGTTACTGAAAAAACAGAAGGCTAAACACACTTTGATAGGAGATATTAGGTACGTTCATTATGAAGTTGTCATGTAGTTACTCATATTTTTCAAAATAATAGCTTATAGCCTGAGCAACATGGTGAAATCCCATCTCTATTAAAACTACAAAAAATTAGCCAGGCATGGTGGTGCACACCTATAGTTCCAGCTACTCGGGAGGCTGAGGCATGAGAATAGCTTTAGCCTGGGAGGTGGAGGTTGCAGTGAGCCGAGATTGTATCACTGCACTCCAGCTTGGGTGACAGAGTGGGACCCTGTCTCTAATAATAATAGTAATAGCAGTTTATATTTTATCTTATAATTTTACAATGTAAATAAATATAGAAAACACCAAAAAACAGAGATAGCAGAAATTATTCTTATTCTAGAATCCACTGTTAACATTTGTGTGGGGCCAGGTGTAGTGGTTCACATCTGTAATCCTAGCACCTTGGGAGGCAGAGGCAGGAAAATTGCTTGAGCCCAGGAGTTTGAGACCAGCCTGGGCAACATAATAAGATCTCGTTACTATTAAATAAATAAATAAAGCAACAACAACAAAAAATATTTGGGTATATGTCTTTCCTGACTTACACTTTTTTAATAAAGTTAGGATAATGTCAGCACCCAAAAGATGAAAAGAAGGAGCTTAATGTAACTCTAAATGATTTATTGAAAATTATTTAAAGTGCTATTCTGAAAAGCTGGATATTTTTCATATGTATATTTCATATATATGTCAACATTTACCATCATGAACATCCTGAGAAATTAAATAGCATGAAAGGATTGTTTTTAAGCCTTTTTCTTTTATAATTGAGAAAAGAAAACTGGATGACAAAAACTAATTTATTTTCAGAAGTAGAAACAACTATAAACAGACTGGTATCTTGGATTAGTTAGAATTAAACTTTGAAGTTAAATGGAAGTTTGGGGATAGTATTAACTTTTTGTGACCATGAAATGTTGGACAGATTGTGTGTCAAGTTTTCCTTCACCTCTCGCAGGGGCATTGGGCTTTTTATTGGAATTGATTTAGTGAAGGACCATCAGAAAAGGACCCCTGCCACAGCTGAAGCTCAGCACATCATCTACAAGTAATTCACCCCCACACCCACCTGTTTGGTATCTTGGCTCCATAATGTCTACCCACTTGAAAGCTTGTTTGGCTTCCTCCCATCCCTCTGAAAAAAGGAAATTTTAAAATATGTCCTATTTATAATGTGGGCTCCTTAAATGCAGAATACTTAACTGCTCTATGTTTAAATCATTCTTCAGTAAGTAACTGTAGTTATCCTTTGCATGTACTCACATGCCTTTCCTGCACAAATTAGGATGAAAGAAAAACGTGTGCTTCTCAGTGCTGATGGACCTCATAGAAATGTACTTAAAATAAAACCACCTATGTGCTTCACTGAAGAAGATGCAAAGTTCATGGTGGACCAACTTGATGGGATTCTAACAGGTGGGTCCATGGATCTTTAAGATGTCTCCTTGTTCCCTCTCCCAGACCCACCCCCCAACCCCTGGCCTAGCCATAATGACCATATGCATCTTGTTATTCATAATGGAAGAGAGGCAGGGAAGAAATAAATATGTAACTTTCCATTTAGGACTAGAAAAAGATAGCTGAAAAGATAACTACATGGACTCTTAAACTGAAATTTTCAGTTTGTACTCATATAACTCCAAATATAAGTTTTTGCTGCAAGAGCATACTGTTTTGTCATTTATTTTTACATTAGACTAGCTAGCCTATTTAAAAGTGTGTGTCTGCATTGTGCCATGTACCACAAATACTGCAGTGTATAGTATTTCAGCATTATACCATTAATACATGAAACATTCCTAATAAAAAATTATAGGCTATAGTATGACAGTTCTTTGCTATATGGTGAATCGTTTAACTTTGCAGGGGTTTTTTTGTTGTTGTTGTTCTTTGTTTTTCTGAGTTAGAGTCTTGCTCTGTCCGGCAGGCCGGAGTGCAGTGGCGCAATCTCAGCTCACTGCAACCTCTGTCTCCCGGGTT